AGCCCTGAGTTTACAAGATATGAGCAGGGCTATTAATATCTTGGAGGTTTGTAATTCATAGAGTCCCCATAAGTTGAAACCAACTTGATGGCAATTAACAACAACAGCAATATATTGGTGGGAAAATAAACCCAAAGGAGGCCATGACTGAGGAAAAACACAATTATTGTATAGTCTAGTTAAGGGTTTACCAACATCTTGCAAAGTATTACAGCAGGAACAGGTAACTCTCAGTTCTTGGTAGGACATCCATGATGGGTATTTTGTATGTTAGTAGTATTAACTGTCATGCCATGTCTTTTAGTTGCCTTTATACATCAGTGCTTGCTTTTTTAAAAAAATTACACTGAATTACTGCCTCCCTTCTTTGAAATTCTTAGTGTTTCAGGTACATTCTTATTTGCATTTTGTTCAATAGAATCTCACACTTGTTTCCTTCTATGAGTATCTGCCAGAATCGTACATATCTTTCTTGTGGATTATTTTTGACACTATTTTATACTGCTTTATAAAGCACATATCATAATGTGTGCAAATGTACTTAGAAAATTTGTTTTACTGGCAAACTGACCAAATTCGGTTGACCAAATTCCAGAGTTTTGCCAAAGATAGCACTGAGATCCATAAATCACATGAATGCTGTCTAAATGCATTTGAGGGCACATCAGAGAAGAAAAATCCAAATGTAAATTACATATATGTTCAGTTTTTTTTAAGGTTTATCTTAAGGCTCTATCCAGGTGATGTAGCCCTGTAACAGTAAACTCTTGGATACAATGGAGGCTTTTCTCAGTGCAACAGTAAAAAAGTGCAACTCACCTTTCATGTCTGCAGTGCCCCACACCATGCCTCCTCCTAAGCTTTTCCAATGGGTCCACCAATCCTCTGTAGTACATATGTGGGCAAAATTAATGTTCTGGCTCTTCTGGTAGTAAAAATCTGCCTAGTCAAATAATATTCTGTGGTTGGAATAAGTCAATAAGTGGCTATGGTCCAAAACACAATGTAGAAATAATCCAGTTTGAGGCTGCTTTAACTACCCTGGTCAGTGCTAGGGAATTCTGGGAACTGTAGTTTTGTTTAACTTTCTGCCAGAGAATTCTGATGCCACAATAAACTACAGTTCTCAGGATACCTTAGCACTGAGCCAGGGCAATTGAAGTGTTCTCAGCCTGGATTATGTCAGTAGTGTACTTTAGACCAAAGACCATTATATCCAAACAAAGTGGCTTAATGTAACCTGCAAGTCATACTAAACTAAGGGTCTTGTTATACAGCCCTGTATCCATAGACCAAAATTAAGTCCCATTAAGTTATATTCAGGAGCCAGTGTGGTGTAGTGGTTTGAGATTTGGACTACAACTCCGGAGACCAAGGTTCAAATCCACACTTGCCCATAGAAATTGATTGGGTGACCTTGGACAAGTCACTAAGCCTCAGAAGCAGGCTTGTCAAGAAACCCATGGTAGGGGTCACCATGGGTTGGAAATGACTTGAAGGCTCACAACAACAGAAACACAGCCTAACTATTTAGGGTTATAGCTGCAGCTGAATAGCAAAGGTTGTGTTTCATTTTTGTTTGTTTGTTAAGTCACAGTTTTAAAACATCAAGATTTTGACACATTCTAAGGACATCTGGACTGTACATTGAACTGTATGCTCTTGTGCATTTCCTCCTCTTCATCCATTGGTTTATAAGAGGTTGTACATGGCTCAATAACAACAGGGTTGGTGGAATATATTCTTACGTACTCTGTTGAGTATAAGCTCAGCATTCTGAGTTCAGTTCCTGACATCAGCAGTTAAAAAAGATCCCCTACTGAAACCCTGGAACTCTGTTGGCAGTGAAACAAGGGGGGGACGACAAAAGGTTGAGCAATCCTTGCTGGCAAATTTTAGTGTTCTGTAGTATGTTAGGCAGGATTTCTGATTTCTAAACAAATAACACTCTTATTTCAAATTATATTATTACAATGAGGAAAGCTGAAAGACAGGAGAAGGAGGAATGGATTTATGTTTGGATGGGCGTGAGCGCCATTCAGTCTTGATATTCAAAACAAATTCTAGGACTAGTTGTATCTCTAATCTTTAGAATCAGGCTCTGGCTGGCTCTAGAGCAGTGATTCCTAACCTTTTCTGGGTCATGAACCACTATGAGCAAACCAGGAAGAAGTGAGTGCTGGTGAAATCCCACCATGACTATCAGGAAAGCATTCATCCATAGGACTCTTCTGCCTTGCTGTCTCGAGCACCTGTTTCCACTTTATAAAGCGAAGATACTCAAAGGAGAGAATCACAAACAAAAAGCATATTTTCATAGGAATACATGCCAAAATAATATTTCCCCCCTCTTTAGATAGAAGATGTCTGAGGGTTTGTACTTCACTGAATGGAAAGAAGAAGAAGTTGAAGCAGGCTATAGGGAAGGTTACATTTGATGATTGCATTGTATTGTGGTAAATTTAGCTGCACCCTGCAGAAGGCTCTCAATTTGCCATTTCCTGATACAACAGGAAAGGGAAGGGATGTGCTGCAGACAGCTGAAAGAAGTGGGTGGAGAACCAACATTTGTTAATTCAGCAGAAAATGTAATGCTTGCAGTTGCTGGCTAGAATACTGCACGTCTTCTACAACAGGTTTAATTAGAGTTTTTCTAATGCTGCATTCATGGTAATATCTTCTGTTCCCAGACCTACCTATTCAGTCTCAGGCAAATGAGATCTAGATAAAGCTGGCAAGAAACCTGATTTTTTTTTTAAAAAAAAAAGTTGTTGCTTACATTGCTTTCAGAGTATAGAAACAATTTTTGCACTATACACAATACAGTTTCTTTGCTGTATCAGTGCAGGCAGTTAGTTGCCCTAGGTGGTAATTTATTTGACTTCTATATTAACTCATAGGTTTGACAAAATCATAACATGTTGCATTTAAAAACAAATGTATCAAAAGCAAGAAGCTATTTCTGTAACATTTACAAAAGTTGAGCCTTAAAGAAGGTGAACACTAACAAGCGTAAAGTGGGCTGGGGACTGGGGGGCGGGAATCCTCTTGTATGTTATCATTATATTGAAGCATTGCCAAGGTTGCTCATTCAAAAAAAAAAAAAGCCAAAGGGAAAAAAAAACAGGACATGTTTTGTTTAGTCAAGGGGACCCAGCTTTCCTTCATACTTGGAAGGATTCACTTCCAAGGGCTCATGCTCATTGTAAGTTCTGGAGTTGTATGGGTTTCCAAGCTAGTTTGTTTTATATAAGTCAGGTTGCATTGTGTGAGGTCTTTCTCCCAGGGTATATTATGCACTAAAGTGCCAACGTTTAGCATTCTGTTTTGTTTCTGGTGCTTAAAAAAAGGATTAATTTTCTTCCTGCTGACTCCCACCAGCTTGGAGCATAAATATTTTGGTATGGTGAGAGAAGGAAAATGAAATACCATATACACATGACTATAAGTCAACCTCATGTATAAGTCAAGGGCAGGTTTGGGGACCAAAATTATGGATTTTGCTATGACTCATTGATAAGTCAAAGGTAAAACTTAAGAGTACATTGCTAAGGAGAAAGCAAAGGGAAATTATGCCAAATTTACAAAATTCCAACAGGGATAACTGTTTGTGCTCTCCCTAATGTTTTGATGGATTAAGATGGAGCTATGGTAAATCATGGCTGTACAATGTGTGGGGGAAATGACTGGGCATGAGCAAGGGCCAAGAAAAAGAACATATGTCAATTAGGATGTAAAGGCAAAGGAAAGAAAATGGTGACTACATCAGCAGTGATTACAGACTTAAGTTTAATGTGATAATTTGATCTGGTCTTAACCTAGAACAGTTCACAAACATACATAATTTTTAAAATTCATATCTTTTAAAGCCCAATTCCTCTTGGTTCTCCTTTGAGGGGAAGTTCCAAAGAGCAGCCACTGCTGCCATTTTCACACCCAGGCATTTTTAAAAAGCCAGAAACAGTGCCAGAGTAGAAAAAGTAGAGTGTGTTTGTTTAGGTACTCCTACAGCAGACTAAACTCTCGCCTTTTCCCACTCTATTTTTTTGGTAAGAGTTATACAGTATTTATACAGACAATGGATAAATCGACCCAGTTTTTTTAGTCAACGTTTTGACTAAAATTTCTAAACTTATACATGAGTATGTACACTACCTGAGTTATGAGAGAAGAGCGGAAGCCTCATCTAGCTTACTTTTTGCTATAACATGTAAAGAAGTACTTGGCCTTCCCTCCATCCACCATCATCCAGAGGGAGAGAAGAGCAGGCCAGCTCCACCAGACCTAGTCACAGTAAGAAAGCTAGCCTCTAGTTGATCTGCATTGGTCCAGGCTTTAGAGGCTTTAGAGGGAGAGAAGATCTGTTGGACTTATTCCCCTTCCCCGCCACTATTCCCTTCTCCTTTTGCATCTTGTCTTTTTAGATTGTAAGCTTGAAGGCAGGGAAATGTCTAATTAACCATTTGTAAGGTTCTCTGATAGCCTTTTAGCTGAAGAGCGGGGTATAAATACTTCAATAAATAAAAATAAAACATATTCACCTTCTCTTGTATAGTTACAATTTTACTGAAAATGTATTATCTCCAACAATTCTTTCTTTGCACCCATTATAACAACAGTTTAGCTTTTAAAAATCATTAGTTGTGAATGTGTTGATACAAAAGCAGGGGAAGAAACATGTTTTGGGTGGGGGTAGGAGGATCCCCTGTAGCTTGCTGGGAGATCTAACCACCCCCACCACCCCAGGAAGGACATGATTATGCGTCTGCTACCCATGAAAGCTGCATTTCAATCTGAGGCTTGGCAGAGGGGTGAGGGATTTTGTTTGGTGAACTAGCATCTGCAAGACTCCCAAATGATTCTTTAATCTTAGCCAGGGGTAGGCAACCTTTCCACTTTAAGGGCCAAGGGACTTCAGCTCCCAGAAGCCTCAGCCATGTTGGCCAATAGTCCCATGTTGGACAATAGCTCCTGGGGTTCTGGGAGCTGAAGTCCTTCGGCCCTTAAAGGGGAAAGGTTGCCTACCCCTGATCTTAGCCATAGAGTGTCTGCTTTGCATTCAAAAGGTTCAACCTTGGCGTCTCTAAGGATGGCTAGAGAGATTCCTGTCTGGGAAGGAATGCCAGAGAGACAAGAACCCCAGGGATTCACTACCCGTCAGTGTTGACAGTACTGAGCTGGATAGACCAAAAGCCTCAGAATGAGATAGCATCCAGTGTTCCTCTATAGGCCCTTCTCAATTTAAAAGTTTTCTAGATCATTTTTAATGCTAAAATCCATGCCCTCTCTTGATTGGTTGCATTGCTGCAATGATCTACTGTGTCAACTTTACCGTTATGTGGTCATTCTTCTTTCAGCCCACCAAGAAGGGTCTGCAGAATTCTGTGGAAAAGTTACGGTGAAAACTGTGATACAAATTTTAAAGAAATATATTTTGCTGGCACACTGATACTGTCACTAGGAGCTTCTAAAGAAAGTGTGTCTATGAATATAGGGGCAATAGGGAATTTATTCTTACTCTATAATAATGGTTCCCAATCTATGGTCCTGCACTTCAGCTCCTAAGAGCCTCAGCCAACTTGGTCAACAGTCAGGAATTATGGGTGCTGAAGTCCAAAACACTTAGTGGACCAAAAGTTGAGAACCACTGCTCTGGAACAATATAGGCATCTCTGGGAAAATTCTATGTTTCAGCTGGAAGGCTGTCTTTTAATGGTTGCCATATTTATTATACTGGGAGGTTGGTAGCACTACGTAGGATGCTTGGTCCTTATTTAACACAACTGCAACTTCTGTCAGGCCCAGCCAGGTTAGTCAGTGGCATGTGATGATGGGAGTTGCAGTCCAACATCTAGATAGCCATACATTCCCCAGTCCTGATTTAGCATTAATATTAACAACCTCTCAGTTTTAGAATTATGTCTTTGCTATAATAATTTGTTGTTAACGTAATAGGACAGGGGTAGGCAACCTTTCCCCTTTAAGGGCCGAGGGACTTCAGTTCCCAGAATCCCTGGAGCTATTGGCCAACATGGGACTATTGGCCAACATGGCTGAGGCTTCTGGGAGCTGAAGTCCCTCAGCCCTTAAAGGGGAAAGGTTGCCTACCCCTGTAATAGGAGAATACACCTAATAATTATTGAAAATATTAAAAATTGTTGCTTGAAAGCACAGCTAGATGATGTGCAAGAGCCACATACTGAAGAACCCATACATTTTGGAATTGAGAATTTAAATATATTCATTTTAGATGTCTTTTTTCATAGGGTAATTGTTCTTGTCAAGGATGCTTTCATGCTTGCTCAGAGCTAGGGACTGTATCCCTACAAACCAGAATACATACAAGATTATTCAGACACTGTGTATATTACTATTTCTTGGAGGAATAGGTCATA